ATATATAGATATGTCAAGACTTATTGTGTTTAAAATATGAACTTGATAGTATGTCTAGTTATTGAGGTATTGTTAGCAGACTTTTTATTTTTAGAGTTTTTTTATATTCTCTTAAGTTTTCCCACTCTTTGACGGCTTGCGATGAATTGACAGTACCACTATTGTATATAAGTATGTCAAGACTTATTCTGTTTAAAATATGAACTTGATAGTATGTCTTGTTATGGAGGTATTGTAGACAATTTGTTAGCAGACTATTTATGTTTAGAGTTTTTTTATATTCTTTTAATTTTTTCTTACTCTTTGACGGCTTGCGATAAATTGACAGTACCACTATTATATATAGATATGTCAAGACTTATTGTGTTTAAAATATGAACTTGATAGTATGTCTAGTTATGGAGGTATTGTTAGCAGACTATTTATTTTTAGAGTTTTTTTATTATCTTTTAAATTTTTCTTACTCTTTGACGGCTTGCGATAAATTGACAGTACCACTATTATATATAAGTATGTCAAGACATATTCTGTTTAAAATATGAACTTGATAGTATGTCTAGTTATGGAAGTATTGTAGATAATTTGTTAGCAGACTTTTTATTTTTAGAGTTTTTATATTCTTTTAATTTTTTCCACTCTTTGACGGATTGCGATGAATTGACAGTACCAGTATTATATATAGATATGTCAAGACTTATTCTGTTTAAAATATTAACTTGATAGTATGTCTAGTTATGGAGGTATTGTAGATAATTTGTTAGCAGTATATTTATTTTTAGAGTTTTTTTATATTCTTTTAAATTTTTCTTACTCTTTGACGGCTTGCGATAAATTAACAGTACCATTATTATATATAGATATGTCAAGACTTATTGTGTTTAAAATATGAACTTGATAGTATGTCTAGTTATGGAGGTATTGTTAGCAGACGTTTTATTTTTAGTTTTTTATATTCTTTTAATTTTTCCCACTCTTTGACGGCTTGCGATGAATTGACAGTACCACTATTAAATATAAGTATGTCAAGACTTATTCTGTTTAAAATATGAACTTGATAGTATGTCTAGTTATGGAGGTATTGTAGATAATTTGTTAGCAGACTATTTATGTTTATAGTTTTTTTATATTCTTTTAATTTTTTCTTACTCTTTGACGGCTTGCGATAAATTGACAGTACCATTATTATATATAGATATGTCAAGACTTATTGTGTTTAAAATATGAACTTGATAGTATGTCTAGTTATGGAGGTATTGTTAGCAGACTTTTTATTTTTAGAGTTTTTATATTCTTTTAATTTTTTCCACTCTTTGACGGCTTGCGATGAATTGACAGTACCACTATTATATATAGATATGTCAAGACTTATTCTGTTTAAAATATTAACTTGATAGTATGTCTAGTTATGGAGGTATTGTAGATAATTTGTTAGCAGACTATTTATTTTTAGAGTTTTTTTATATTCTTTTAAATTTTTCTTACTCTTTGACGGCTTGCGATAAATTGACAGTACCATTATTATATATAGATATGTCAAGACTTATTGTGTTTAAAATATGAACTTGATAGTATATCTAGTTATGGAGGTATTGTTGGGAGACTTTTTATTTTTAGAGTTTTTTTAAATTCTCTTAAGTTTTCCCACTCTTTGACGGCTTGCGATGAATTGACAGTACCACTATTATATATAAGTATGTCAAGACTTATTCTGTTTAAAATATGAACTTGATAGTATGTCTAGTTATGAAGGTATTGTAGATAATTTGTTAGCAGACTATTTATGTTTACAGTTTTTTTATATTCTTTTATTTTTTTCTTACCCTTTGACGGCTTGCGATAAATTGACAGTACCAATATTATATATAGATATGTCAAGACTTATTCTGTATAAAATATGAACTTGATAGTATGTCTAGTTATGGAGGTATTGTAGATAATTTGTTAGCAGACTATTTATGTTTAGAGTTTTTTTATATTCTTTTAATTTTTTCTTACTCTTTGACGGCTTGCGATAAATTGATAGTACCATTAATATATATAGATATGTCAAGACTTATTGTGTTTAAAATATGAACTTGATAGTATGTCTAGTTATGGAGGTATTGTAGATAATTTGTTAGCAGACTATTTATTTTTAGAGTTTTTTTATATTTTTTTAAATTTTTCTTACTCTTTGACGGCTTGCGATAAATTGACAGTACCATTATTATATATAAATATGTCAAGACTTATTGTGTTTAAAATATGAACTTGATAGTATGTCTAGTTATGGAGGTATTGTTAGCAGCCTTTTTATTTTTAGAGTTTTTTATATTCTTTTAATTTTTCCCACTCTTTGACGGCTTGCGATGAATTGACAGTACCACTATTATATATAAGTATGTCAAGACTTATTCTGTTTAAAATATGAACTTGATAGTATGTCTAGTTATGGAGGTATTATAGATAATTTGTTAGCAGACTATTTATTTTTTGAGTTTTTTTATATTCTATTAATTTTTTCTTACTCTTTGACGGCTTGCGATAAATTTACAGTACCATTATTATATACAGATATTTTAATACTTATTGTGTTTAAAATATGAACTTGATAGTATGTCTAGTTATGGAGCTATTGTAGATAATTTGTTAGCAGACTATTTATTTTTAGAGTTTTTTTTATGTTCTTTTGATTTTTTCTCACTCTTTGACGGCTTGCGATAAAATGACAGTACCTATATTATATATACATATGTCAAGACTTATTCTGTTTAAAATATGAACTTGATAGTATGTCTAGTTATGGAGGTATTGTAGATAATTTGTTAGCAGACTATTTATGTTTAGAGTTTTTTTATATTCTATTAATTTTTTCCCACCCTTTGACGGCTTGCGATAAATTGACAGTACCACTATTATATATAAGTATGTCAGGGATTATTCTGTTTAAAATATAAACTTGATAGTATGTCTAATTATGGAGCTATTGTAGATAATTTGTTAGCAGACTATTTATTTTTAGAGTTTTTATATATTTGATTTAATTTTTTCCTACTCTGTGACAGCTTGCGATGAATTCACAGTACTACTGTTACATATGGATATGTATAGGCTTATTCTTTTCAAGGTATGAACTTGATAGTATGTCTAGTTATGGAGTTTCTGTAGATAGTTTGTTGGCAGACGTTTTATTTTCACAGGTTTTTTTTATATTCTTTTCATTTTTTCACACTTTTTGACGGCTTGCGAAACATTGACTGTAACTTGTTTTAGTGAGGCTTATAAATAGATTAAATTGTGTTAAAATATCAACTTGATAGTATGTCTTGTTTTGGACTTATTTAAGATTCTTTGTTGGTTGCGATATATCAAAATATTAAAAAGACTAATTTTTCATTTCTCTTGAATACAAATATTCTTAAATCTGACTTAATATCTATTTTATGATTTATATTTTTTTTAAATGTTCTTACTTCTACTTTTGGTTTAATAATTACCGCATAATTTATTTAATTAAATTTATTAACCTGGAACCGACGCCACTGTTCATTCGGGTTCCTTCGCCATTTTGGCTGCCAAGTTTGGTCTGCTAACTTCACACCAGTTCAAGAAGTTTAGTTCAACCACCGAAAGAAGTTAACGAGATTTAACTTTACCTAAGAAAATTTGACAAGAAGGCCTCTACAGTCACTCCTTAAATGTTACCTCTGATTCAACAGATAAGTTTTAATAAATCATTTAAATTTGAATAATTAAGTCTCTGTGAATTAGAATTTGTCGCTACCTTATTTAATTATAATATCATTAGGGTTAGTGATTTTCTATATTTTCATCACTAATCGCTTGTCAAGTTAAGAAATTTTAAATATAGTGGCGTCCAACATTCTTTTTCAAAGTAATACGAGTTGTTTAATAACCTGACCCACTCCCCAAAATCATAGAGCTTCAAACACTATAAAAATAGATAAAATAACAAGATCATATTACAATACACAGTTAGTAGGTACATAACTTAAAAGTTTTTATATGATTATAACGTTGTTCAACAGACAACATAAGAAATTCAAGACATTAATATATAAAATGATTCTGTTTGCACAACTGGCACATTTTGTGTGACATTAGATTAGTGTTTTCTGTAACCGACAAACTGGCTATGGGTTTGACATGGCAATGTAAATAAATGGTTCTTAGAATATAATTGAGATGGCTTATGTGTTAGTGAATTATTAGCGATCCTTACTAAGATCGTTTAGTAAGGAACATTTTGAACATTTAAAGTAGGTAGTTCACTAGGATTCAAAGAGTATTCCCAAGCGAGATTGGTTACATGACCGAATTTGGAAGATACAATGTAGATAAGAACCCACTCCTATGCCTTACTGTCTATACCAAATTTTTCGAGCGCAGAAACATGAGAATGAACATTGTTTGGAAAGAAACATTAAGAAACTATTTACACGTTTATTTACACTATTTACATTGGTTGTTACATTTATCAAAAGGAATGGCATAAAAAGCCGGTACAAAACCTGAACACTTCTCACGTCTTCAGTCGTTTGAGTCTATATTCGAACTGCCTTGACGGTTGACAAGGCGGGGCAGGGGAGCGCTAACTGTCAGTAGTGCCAACATGATATATTTACATGTGGTGGCGCTGTATTGGCTTGAACAAACATTGTCTGTCAATTCCCTAAGTACCGTTGGTGATGTTCTTGTCAAATTTGGCAAATTATTTATTCCTTTGATATGATTATTAACCGCTTATTTTCAAATCGTTCAACTAATAAATTCCACGCTATATCTTAATTGTCCTCTAATTTGAGTGCGATATCCGTCAAACAAGTTTTAATATGATGTAGTTTTGATGAATTAATCGATTAAATGTATCGTGAAATGTGGTCCAAGTTTGATAATCGCCAGTAAAAACTGGTAAACGAATAGGTGGGAACACTGGTAACTTGAAATTTGAATTACTTGGTGAGACATTTTCAATTAGATTGATTCTGAAACACTCTGTCTTACGGTAAAAATAAGAATTTTAGCCTTCTCAATAAAGGTATAATAACATAACTATTCTCAAATTCAGAACGTGAACTTTCTTCAGAACTATCTAATATTTCTAAGTCTGTCTGTATTGTTGTTTCAAATTCTTCATACGCGATTTTAAAAATGTCTTAAAACATGTTATTTCCCATTAAGGATTGATCTCCTTTTTACTAAGTTCCTAATTTTATTAGCAGTTGTATCTGGCGCCATTTTGTTGTAAAATATAGCTTAAAACAATAACTATATGGTAATGCCTTAATTCTATGACGTAATTTATAATATCTATGCTTAGAGCATATGCTCTAAGTATCTATGTGACTACAAGTTATATATAACCTTAGTGACAGAATTGAAAGATAAAATAGACTAACTCACTTTTAAATGGTAAAGATCTTTAACCTACCTCTGGTATTGCAGCTACCTTTGTAAGTGACCAACGTTCCAGCGGAGACGTCGGACGTAGTTTTAATTATTGTAGCGAGCCTTCCTGGTATCCGGCTCTAATCAGGACCAAAATGTACGATCGTGCAATTATATAAGAATTCGGGGTTTTTATTCAAAAATGATTTCGAGACAGTTTAAAAATTATTTTATTTATTTCAATTACAAACGTTAATCAATATGGTCGATATGCACGATACACAAATACCGGTATGCTACTAATTCGACCGAATTTCGCACTTTCCGCGCATGACGTAACGTGGCAAACAGTATTTGATTGACGTTTGAATAAGAATTATTTCTTAATACAATTTTATTCCTAATTAAGATATAATAGGTAATACGAAATAATGATACGCGTTCATTTTTGGAACTTTAAATAAGAGTTAAAAGTATTTTGCTTGTCTGTTCATTTTTGAACTACCTATTTGAAGAGTTTAAAGTGTTTTGATTTTGTGATTTCCATTGTTGAATGTTTATAAAGGGTTTATATTAAATTGTGGTGATTTATTCATCTATTTTATTATAAAACTATAAAATGTCCAACTGTGCTGTAGCTATTTGTAACAATTATAGCAAAATTACGAAAAGAACGGACATTAAAAATTTTCGATTTCCAAAGTGGATTGTAACATGTCGTCGAGAAAGAACAATAAATTTAAAAAATGGTAAGTGGGAGCTTTTATTTGAATGAAAAATTTGATTCACATTTATTAATATTCAGTGTCTATGGTCATGTAAAATACTCATTAGGTTGCATATACATAAATATCATGTACATATATTATGACTCGATGTTTTTTTGCAGAACTCTGTACTCTTCTGTTTCGAAGTAGCAGCTAGTGATTCTGAATAAGAGCTTACCTACACAGAGCCTTCTCCCGAAGACACCCAAAAAAAACTGGTACTTGGATCTTGATATCAGTATTTGCATTTTTATCTCATCCAAAATATTCTGAGATATAGTCGCTAACAGCCCTCAATCAGACACCATGTGCAGTGGTTTTACTCGAATCTTGATGTTCGTTCAAATTATGCATTATTGTTTGCCGTTCTTTATTATGAACTTATGTAAGATACATTTTTTTAAAACAAAGTGTCTTTGCTCATTGTACTTTATCACATATATTCTTGTTTTTAAACAATAACTTTTCTACTTTCACTTAATAAAAACCACAACCTTTAACAATGAAATAATGTTACAGTTTTGTATTATCGTTACTCGTATTTATCCATTATTTATCTATGTAGATGTGTCGAATTTTTAATACACGTGACGTCATATCATGCGCAGGAACATACCGGTATTTGTGTATCGTGGTCGATATGGATACAAAAGTCAATTACCAAAACATTTATAGGATTGCCAAATTCACTCAAACTAAAATATAATGTAACATCGGTGACGCAACAATTATTTGGATAACATATCTTCTTTTCGGTTACATTCGACTTAAAGGACACACGAATTTCAAAATATTTTTTGTACTTTTAGAAAGTGGAGAAGTTATATATCATGAAAATTAAAGAAAATTTGGAGATTATCCACGATTAAGCAAGAAATTTAATGTTAAAATCTCAAAAATTGCACATTTTTAATCAAATCTTTTGACATATGTGTACAGGGTTGCCAAGTATTTTAGTATGTAAGAAGAACTAACTTTTAAAGTCGTAAATTATCATATTTTTATGATTTGTTTATTTAAATAAATAATAATAGAATTTTATGATAAAATGCATGAATCTGTATCAAACATCGCTCACCGACCCCTACCACAGATCAAAGAATATTATCTGTTCATATCAGCTTATATAATTGTTTATAAAATTAAACAGTAATCCTTTATTGTAAGTTTTTTTGACTCATTCAATATAACTGTTCACTCTAAATTCTCCGCTACCCGGTCATACAGGGCGACTTATATACGGCCTGGAATCATTGCAGTTCAAATAGTATAATCGATATCAAACATCACTCCCTAACCTCTAACATAGATCAAACAATAAAATATGATCATATCGCTTAAACAATATATATTACAAATGGGAATTTTAATTAATTTTAATTAACAAGAACAAATTAAACATATAAACAAAGAACCATTAATACTTTTGTGATATGTGCAAAGTTAAATTTTTTAATCTATCTCTGGCACTTTTTCCATATCTTTCCTTCCATTTAAAAGTGTCGATGTATTCCGGCAAAAATTTAGAATTCATGACACCAAGTTGTCTAATATAACGTTTTAAGCATGACCAATAACCCTCCACATGGTTCGTACAGATACCTGTCTCGGGATCTCGAAAATATTTGGACAACCATTTTAAAGTAAATTCTGTAGGAAGAATTAAATTGTTTTCTGAGTCGCCCAAAATATCTTTACACTGTTTTTCGAAAACAACTCCAATCATTTTAGTGTGTAAAGGTATCCCTATAAAAGTTTCAATTTTGTATCGCCCTATTATACCTGTCATACTCTCCAACTCTCTGATTAAATTATTAGCGAATTCTTTTATTTGTTTATAACTGCTTTGGTCAGGTTCAATATTTAATTTGTTGCACCACAAGTTAGAAAGGTAGTCGATATTTTCTTCTTTAGAAAATTTTTGGAGAGCAAATACACTACATTCCATATTTTTATCCTTCAAATGTTTTAAGATATGAGGTCTTGATGTTAGGACAATCTTCCGAATATTATCGTTACTAGCTATAGATATTAATGAATTTAAAACTAAGTCAGAATATTCTGGACTAATTTCATCTAGAGCATCTAATAATAAAATTACATTTTTAGTAACGTTAAATAGGTTTGTTTCAAATGCGCTTTTACCTGGATATTGAAGTAAATCTAAAAATTCATCCAATGAAATAGACCTTCTATGTTCTTTAGAAAGTTTAAATAAAATTTTAGTATGTTCATTCAGATTAATTTTTATTATCCAATATTGGGTTTTACGAAGCAATTGACATAATCTGTTTAGAATAGTAGATTTTCCCATTCCTGGAAAATCAATTAATGTAATAAATTTATTATTTGATTGATCAGTAATTTTGGAACAAAATTCTTCTTCAGATAACTCGTTGCTAGACTCTATACTCGTATTTTCATAATAATCAGGATATTTCTCTTTATTGATTTCGATAAAGGTTCTATTTACATATAACGGAATTACTTCGAAATTTTCGAGTGTATTATTAATTATTAATACTTTCTTATCAATTGATAATAATGTTAATAAAGTAGGTTCATCGATAATATCATCATTTAATTTGTAGTTATCAATATGAATCACATCTTTCAAAGGTACGCTGCATCCTTGATATATAATCTGTTTTTGAAAAATTTTATTCTGAATTTCAACAGAAAAATCACTAAGTTTAATATTATTTGTTAAAAATACAGTGAAGTTTGGAAAAAACTTATTTTCAATTTCCCCATCTAAATAATCCGTAACGATAATAATTTTTTTATAACTTTTATCTTTTTGTATATCAATGGCGTTCTTTAGATCACTTTTAATATCGTTATATTTTTGGACAAAGTCAAAAATTGGTATGATTAAATAAACGTATTCTGGTACCTTAAACGAAGTAATTGTACTTTTTAAAAAAAATCGTCTTAGTTTGAATTATTAATTATTAGACCAAATTGAAAAATAAAATAAATAATTTTATAATATAGATTTGTTCGTCCAAACGCTCCAAATTTTGCTTTTTTTTGAAATTGTTGCATTTCGTACTGATTTTCGTTGTAAAAGTTTTTTAAAAGTTGTACTGGATTACCGAATCTAATCGTTTCGTACTGAATTCAGTACAATTGTACCCAAACCACTGAACTATATATTAAACTGGAAGCTCAAAGCCGATCAACAAAATCGAGCCCCATAATGTGTGTCTTTTTTCCAGCGGTTTGTTGGAATCGTTGTTTCACCGATGCGGCCTTCGATTTATTTATGGTTGACCGTTGAAATAAATAACAGTTGACATTTTGGATTAAAATTTGTGTTCATAATTTTGCTTGTACGGCAGCGTAGAAGGGCCACATTTTTTATTTTTTTTTTATTTTTAAATATTTTTAAAGATTAGAAAAATTTCATGTCTCAATTGAGATTTTACTAAAACCTTAATTACAGCCTTTCTGTATTACATTACACAAAGAACAATATAGTGTCTCCATGGATGGACTTAATTATAGATACTTGTAAATTTTTTTATTTTAAATTAAAAAAAAATATTTTTCATAATTTCTCAATGCGAATCATATTTATTTAACAAGTAAAAGAAATTATGAAGAATTACTTTTTTAATTTAAAATAAATATTTTCACAAGTATAGTTAAGTCCATTCGTGGACACACTGTATAATACTGAAGAATTAATTCACATTATAACATCTATAGAACGTTTCAGAGCAAATTTCGGTGTAAGTACCGTAAAAGGGCTAATGTGATGTTTTTCGAGCTTCACTTTGCAACCTCTGCGAGATGTGCTATAAAAGTCTTGCCTTTTCGGATATTCGGCGGTTGCAGGGTTACATTAAAAGTACATTGCAAAGAGCCTAAAATTGCAGCTTATTAACGTAGATGGGATGTTTTTGTGCTAGTTTGGTCTGCTTTATTTCCATTTTATTATTTAACAATCAGTTCAAAAACAGAAAAAAATCAAAAATTCATAAAAATAATAAAGAAATAAATATTTGTGGTTATGTAGGTATCACGTAGGCAGTGTTGTCACGGTCAAATGGTGATAATTCTCATAATTTGCCCCGAACGCCTCATGAAAATATTTTAAAACATGACTTTTCAGCAATAGTGCATACTAACTAAATGAAAGACGCTATAATCTTGGATGAATAAACTATAAATCAATTCATATAAAAGTTCATTGGTTGGTTAAGAATACTCAAAAATCGTTTCTGTAATATTTGTTATGTTTTTAATGCTTTGAAAACCATCTATAAACATTATTAGTTATGGTCAGCTGACTTTCTTTCATATTTTGAGCTTATTTTTGAATATTTATTAGGTTATCCTGAAAGCTCAACATTGATTTTTGTAGAACAATATTATAATATGAAATTTTACTTACCGTTTTTCAGTTTTCATTGTAAATTTAATAATTTTCACATTTATCACACTCGTCAAATAAAATCTTAATATTTTGTTTGAAATACCTTTTATTGTCCAATAAAACAAGTGAATTAAAATGTTTATTTTATAAAATGAGTCCCATTACAACACATATCATTATACATATAAAAATAATATAATATAGGTTAAAACAATACATAATAGACTAAAAATAGGTATAATAAAGGAATGATAAAGTCGAAGTTTAGAAAATAGGTATATCATACCTCGGAGGTATGTTATTATGTCATCCAAATCAATTTTTTAGTAGAGCAGATTAAATGTTGATTAGACACTTTTTGTGCTCCACATTTATACATATTAACTATATTTCGACAAGAAATGTAAAAAAAAAAAATATATGAATTGTTGGTTTTTGACATATTTCTATGTTCTGATAACAAATTTTCTATAAGTGTCATATACCTCCAATATGCCTATATGAATAATACGACTAACATGAGAGTTAAAAAGGTTATGTACACATGGCGTTGTTTACCTCGAAAGTTTACTGAACATACCGTTATATTTTTTTGGTTAACTTTTATTGTAACGTCACATACATGATATAATATACCCCTGGAAAGATCTTGATGAGTCGAGTTTAAAAATGTAACTGATAAAACTGCACAATGTCAACATAGTTCAGTTTACCTCCGAGGTACTTTGTATGGGTAAAAATTTAATATTTAATTTAGTCTTCATGTTATAGGTACATACCTAACATAGACACAACTATTTAGTTTCTTAAAATAAATTAGGACAGTGTAATATTTTTTTATATCGTCTTTAAATTGTAATGTAAGTTTAGCTTCTAGTTTTTTTTTTGTAGATGCAGTCGATACCACATCATTTAAGTAAAATCCTCACGAAACATCAGTCTGACACTGTTTATCAGTAACTCTAGCATTTATGTAGATAGGGCATATTTCTATTACTTCAAATTCAATAGGGACAACCTACAAAATAAAACAATTATTCATATATAATTCTACTACAGTCAGGAAATTATTTTTGTTCAAATAAATTGTCATATTCTGAAATATCTTCTTATCTATCTTTCTTGGCTGGCAAACGCATCAGAGATCTTTTTAAAGTTAGGTATTTTAACTGAAGAAAGGTATCTAAATTCTCTAATTTGGTCATCTTAAACGTACTTATCATTATCATTGCCATAAAAGCCTATTTATTGATGGAACCCAGTCATCTCTTAATTCGGATGGTTTTCCTATAAAAGAGTAGGGTTTTAAATAAAAAGTTGACCTAACAAAGGCTATATTTTATCTGACACACTCAGGTATATTCAATGTTGTCTGTTTTTTAAACTTCATTAATGTCTTTTGTATGAACAAAATGCAGTTCACTATATAACAAGGGGTAGGCATGTTTTAAAAACAATATTTTTATCAACAAGCTTACGACTTTAATAAGTACCTAATCTGAAACCACAAAATCCTCAATACATGCAGCTGTATTTCAGTAAATCATTATTTGAAAATGACATGGTATACGCGCATAATGAAACCCCCACAGAGCGGGGGTGGATACCAACCCCTTCAATTATTTGCCTCTAATTGACATAAAAAAGTTATTGTTAGACTGATTTTTTAGATTCAATTCAAGAGTTAAAACCACCAGTGGCGTCGCTAGCAAAATATAAATGATTGAAATGGATGAAAGATGTAGCCAAACATGTTCAGACAGCTTCTTTGTGTGACTTTGTTCCCATAACTTAGTTGATATTTGACTGTTCTTTCTTTTTGTTCAATCCCATCGGTTCCTTTATCTCCTACAGGTTTTCTGACAAGAATTATTCCTTGATGGCGACAACTGCCTTCGTGTTAAACCTCGAATATAAGTTATTTAACTATTTTTTAACACCCTTATCCTTTATATTTAAATCATTTTACCAAAAACCGGAAATGCTGTGGTATCCATAAAATACATCGATTAAAATGGATTGGACATATTTTATTCATTTATAAATGCGCTAAAAAGAATAGATGGCACACGTAGATAGGGTTGCCAGATTTACGAAAGTGAAAAGCGTGACAACCGTGACGACAGAGCTTCAGGTTCAAATACCAAACATTTTTATAAAATTAGGTCCATTCTTTGTGACATTTCCATTAAAAAAATCCTGAGCTTGTATTTTTCATAAACGATAGTCCTTTAGCCGAGTTTTATCTAAAAAGAAGTCCTCACCTTATATTTCTATATAAATTCGGTTTCTCGCCTTATATATATAGACCGTCAGATAGTGACAGGTTTAGGTGCCCCATTTTCGCATACAAGCCTCGAAGAATATATTTTAAGTAGAATGAAAGTAAATTTACGAGTGGCTCCTGGGGATAACGCATGGAAAATTAGATTTTCCCCAACAAAAATGAAAGGTTATTTGTTGCCCATATTTCCACTTTCCACGCAAGCCGTTTTCACTATATGATTAATTAATAGAACTAGGCGTAGCCAAAGGCATTAATGTTGCAAATGGCTAAAGGGTTGAAATAAGGGCGTAATCTTTAAGGAAAAATCGAGAGTATACCAGATTTTTTTTTACACAAGCCCATCGAATGTATCAAAACGTACATCGTCACTAGACCGAAAAATATATTTTCTTGAATTACATGAATGTATAAGTGCATTTTGAGATCGAAAAATTTTTCTGATAAGGAAAATCGAATTTTTCATGTGTTATCTGCAAGAGCCACCCGTAAATTTTCTTTTATTCTACTCAACATCGATGTACTTTTCAACCCTCTTCGAGGCTTGTATGCGAAAATGGGGCACCTAAATCGGGCAATATCTGACAGTCTATAAAGCGTGACCCTATACGTAGGTGCAGGTCAATATCAATAGAGTTATAGAGCCAACATGATGGTTATTATGGTATAGATCTAAAATAAGCAAATACAAATTTTGCGGGTCGTAATCTTTATCTGTCCCCAGGCTAGCTACGACACTGACACTGTGTTCGCGTGCATTTTACTGGTTTGTGCCCTAAACCACTAATTATTTTTTTCTTTTCGAATTCCAGGGCGGTTTTGTGATTTGATGCACGTGTGCACCGTCAATGCCTTCGAATGGGGAGGTTTCGGTTTGTGAATAAAGTAAAGTTATAAAAAAAATGACGTTATACGCTACATAAGCTTCTCCGAGTTCAATACAGCATTAATTTGGGTTAAGAAAAATTATAATTGAAGAGTTTTACCGTTTCAACCAGTATCTAAAAAAAAAAAACGAT